GAAAAGTGTAACACTGTTTAGTGATAAAAACAAAATATGGCAAAAGAACCTGTTTCTTACAGTGATGCTTATGCAGATTTTATTTGTCTAGTAATAATTTAGTTCGCATTTTTTATTTTAGCCTTAGTCTTAGTCCGGGTGGGGGTGGGGACTAACTTAATCATTATCTTAGCGTAGTTGATTAGAATGGTCAGAAATTTAGTCTAATCTCAGTCCATGGATATTGTACTTGATATAGTCTTAGTCTACTCGACTAAAATGGTCAGACATTTAGTCTAGTCTCAGTCCATGGATATTGTACTTGATATAGTCTTAGACTGCTCGACTAAAATGGTCAGACATTTAGTCTAGTCTCAGTCCATGGATGTTGTACTTGATATAATCTTAGTCTACTCGACTAAAATGGTCAGACATTTAGTCTAGTCTCAGTCCATGGATATTGTACTTGATATAGTCTTAGACTGCTCGATTAAAATGGTCAGAAATTTAGTCTAGTCTCAGTCCATGGATGTTGTATTTGATATAGTCTTAGTCTACTCGACTAAAATGGTTAGTTATTTCGTCTATTCTTAGTCCATGGATGTCGTTTTCGATGTATTCTAGTCGACTAAAATGGTCAGATATTTTAAAACCATAAAATATTCATAAACCTACTTCAGGTTTAACACGTACGTGCCCTCTAGTGGCACAGCGGTATGTCTGTGGACTTACAACGCTAGAATCGGATTTCGATACCGTGGTGGGCAGAGAACAGATAACCCATTGTGTAGCTTTGTGCTTAACTTCCAACAAGAATACGTACGTTTTGTGCTTAACTTCAAAAAATAACACGAACGTAAAGACTTTCACAGTAAAGTGCTGAAATTTCAGTTTAGAAATTGGTTTACTAGATTGGGGTAAATAATAATTGTATACTAAGATAACTAATTAATGGAAAAATTAATATGAAAAATCGTTACAAGTTTTGTGCTACATATGACACCTATTTTGTTTTAAATTTCACCTTTCTTGAAATTTTTACAAACATCTTTTAACGTTTCGTGTTTTGGAATTTTAAGATTATGACATCTGACTTAATCTTAATTCCAATAACAGCGAATATATGTTTTTGAAAAGGTAATAATTGATTATTGTTCAAGTAACTGTAACAAAATATTTTTAATGTTTCTTTTAATACATGAATACGTATATATTAGTTTTTCCAGAAGTTTCTAAGAAGGTGAAAGTGTTTAACTGAGGTTTGTTATTTTAATACGACCCTTTGCTTTGTTATGGATTAACTGATTGTTGGTTTTAGAATTTTCACGCAAAACTAAAGGGCTATCTACGCATATCTTTATCTAAGTTTGAATTCATAGCTTGGAATGAAGGCACCTAGTCAATAGTACTCATCATCAACATATGGGCTACCCAGCCCTAAAGTACGAAATGCATTTTCGCAGAAATGTAGGGTGAACCATGAACTCTCGAATGCACAGCCCAACACGCTAACCACTAGCCACGCCCAGTCCTCTTAGAAATGGTCATAGTTACATGTTTTCAACATTTTTACTACTTAAGGTCATTGGGAATCGTAATATGTATATATATATATACGCAGAAAGAGATAGAGAAATGAATATGACAATTTTTAAACAAATGTAAATATATGTTAATTTTTCTTGTTCATAAGCCATAGGGTAAAATAACTCAAAGTTGATTCACAAGTTCGAGTTACCTGGTAACTCCAATTTTTATTTTTAAATTAATGGCAAAGTTACTAAAGTTATCTGTGACTGTCCCTAATTTTAAACTATACTGACCAGAGGGAAGGCAGGCTGTCAGCAGCTAGCGGCACCCTACCACCCACCATTCTTATACCGAAGTCCAGAACTTGGTAACTCATTTAAAAGTAAGTGACATTCAAAATGTATAATGAAGTGTCTTTATAAACAAATTTATGTATATAATCTGCAATTTATACATATATATATATGTGAGCACAACATTGTACGCAACAGATAAGAAAGAAAAGCATGAAGACTAGAATAATTAAGACTTTGTTTCATAAAACAGCGATCACTTCCTACCCCGGCTTCAGCAAACTTAACGACAACACCTCAATATGTGTGTCATAAAAAAAAAAAAAGAACTGTTCATTCTTTCATTGAAACTCTCGCAAAGTGAACATCTAAGGACGTACCGCGGGTCATCCCTGTCGCTTTTTGAAAATAAGCGAACATATGTGGGTGGGCTCCTTTCAAACTTAAGGTACTAGAATGGAATTTATGCACCCCTAATTTTACAGTGGTAAATTACTGTATGGTTGGGCTCAATAGCCTTCTTTTTATTACTTTATCACCAAAATACGTGGAATTAGACACTTGTGATTCTTGTTCTCTTAACACAATGTCAGTCAGTGAGTATCTTTAAAAAATTACAACATCTTACGCAACATTTATAAACACCGGTGACTTAAAAATGACTTAAAGCTGGTATTTAGATAGATTATTAAAATTTTCTCTGTTTTCAAGATTAATTTCGACAACAAATTTCCATGGCGTTGAATTTTTAAGCGTGAAATTTATTTCCGTGCATGGAAAAATTTAAACCGTAGAATCTCAAGGTGGGCAATTCCAAAGTAAATCTATATTCGAAATATACACACATTTTTAACACATATATTTTATCCAGATATTATCATTGATAAAGTGCGTCATTGGTAGCATACATATTCTATCCAGATATTACCAGAGATAAAGTGCGTCATTGGTAGCACACATATTCTATCCAGATATTATCATAGATAAAGTGCGTCATTAGTAGCACACATATTCTATCCAGATATTATCATAGATAAAGTGCGTCATTGGTAGCACACATATTCTATCCAGATATTATCATAGATAAAGTGCGTCATTAGTAGCACACATATTCTATCCAGATATTATCATAGATAAAGTGCGTCATTGGTAGCACACATATTCTATCCAGATATTATCATAGATAAAGTGCGTCATTGGTAAGTCAGTCTTCATTATCTGAAACATTTTATTAGTATTTTTCAGAATTATGAAGCAATAAGACGTTTGGAAGTTTTCTTACAATTCCTTCATATTTCAAAAAATTTGTCTCCTGAAGTCTGTTTCGTCAATGCAGTTTGACATTTACTGTGTCATTTTTAGGTGTGCGGGTTTTTAAGCACAGAGCTATACAATGGGCTATCTATGCTGTGCTCACCACGAGTATCGATACCCGATTTTTAGCATCATAAGCCTTTACATTTACCGTTACATCACTAGGGGCATTTAATTTGTGTAATTTATCTTTGCATTTTATCTCTTTCCTCGGGGCAGGGGGGGGGGGGATCAGTTTCCGTGCAGTTTTAAATTTTATAATAATAAAATATTATATCTTAACTGTTCGTTGTATCAGTTCAAAAATAATTAGACATTTTCCACCTTGATTTAATCATACTGGGTGAAATAATTTATTTTCCTCCTCCGAAGACTCACAGTGTTTTAATATTGTACGGAATAAATATCCACAAATGTTTCTCTTTCGCTACAAATATTATTCAGAACTAGTTATTCCTCATAGATGTTCAGAAACGTTGATAGGTAGGTTACTATTTCTCAATGGCCAAAGATGGCTTTATGGTCAGCGTGCTCGGACTGTAAATCTTGAAGTTCACGTTTCGCGTCCTTTGCCCCCAAAATTCATTCTGTAATTTGGAGCTGTGGGTGCGTTATAAGAGTCACGCTCAAAGTCTAATATTATTACTGATGAGAGTAACCCAAAAATTGTCAGTGTGTGTGTGTGTGCTGTTGAGTAGCTGCTTTACTTCTAATCCAATAGTTCAAAAAATGGAGACGGCTGTGCACTGATAGCCCTTTGTGTATTTTTTTCGCGAAAATTCTGAAACAAATTACTTTTGATGTTCGTCAACATTTATATATATATATATAACAAAAATACAGGAAATAGCTAAATGAATGGAATTTTATCAGTTGAAATTTTAATCGAAGACTGTGTCAAGTTTTCGATTTTCCGCAACTCTTTAACTCTTTCCATTTAAGGACATAATAAATATTGCCCTTTAACCCCACTTTAAACTGTGAAGTAATTAATGATTAGCTTCTATAAAAATTTAATAAGATAAAAAAATATTATTTCTCAATCTTTAAGCTTGATCTAGATAATCAGTATAGAAAGTACAAGACAGAATCGGTTTTGGAAAACTATAAGGAGCCTGAAATAACCAAGGTGACGCTGTCAGTAATAAAACAGTTAATATTATGAATAATTATTAATTAATAATTATTAATTAACAAGTAAAGGCTTCAAAAACGGTAGAAGGTCCTAACAAATTTGTAATAGAAATGACAAAATTACATACTTAAGAAGTATATATAATTTAGTGTTAAAAACTAGTCATACATAGTTCACATGATCAATAATTTTGATGAAGTAAATGCTTTTTGACGTAAGTAGTTATTGATATAATTAACACATGTTAATTCAAATGTTAATGTAATGGCAATAAACAAATAACATTTTCTTTATTGTGCTGACAGAGCATTAATCTATTTTTTACGCACCTTTGCAAGAGTACCCACCGGACTTTTCCTGATGTCCCGGTGGGCCAGTCCTCGCCTGATCAGAGGTAAGTTTACATACTTACAAAACTACAATCTGGAGCTTGATTCCCCGCGGTGGACAGAGTGTAGGTAACTCATTGTACAGTTTTGCGTTAAAAGAAAAGTTAATTATAAATCCCGTTAATTAACGTGAAAACGCACAGTGAAATTTTATGAGTTTAGTAAAGAACGCTTAAATTCATATACAAATCAATAAAAAAATTTCCAGAAACTGTACATAATGTAATAGTATGTATTTTATTGAATAACATTTATTGCAAAATTTTATGATAAAACCAACAGAAATACCCCTTTTTAACACAAAAATCATTAAAGGACAATAGCATTATTCAACTTCTGACATAGGCCTTTAGTGGCATTATGAAGCTTGCCGTTACTATAGTCATTGCTTTAAGTTATAATTCTTTAAATTTCTAACAAATTAATTAGTAACGGTGTGTTGTTTCTCACACAAGATTCCACCTATGCTAAACTTGTTATGAAATCAAATTTATTGGAGTAATTGTACTAGGAGTCTGCGTCTATCTTCTTAATTCACATACAGATTCTGAACTTATGTCTCAAACTAAGATTAGTTTCGTTAATTACATTTAACGTTTTAGCTTATTTCAAAACACGTTTTTGCCAAAGGACTTCCTGGAAAATGTTAACTCAAAGATTTCATGAATGCTTTGATGAGCTAACCAATCATAATTCTCAAGAAAAACGACAGAGGCAAATATGTGTTTGAGTATTAGAATATTTACGACAGAAATGGCCCTGTTATATAGCCTATTATATTATTTTATCTTCAAGGTATCAGAACTTTTTTAGGTGTTCAGTCGAAAACAACATCATTAATTTAGCCATTTATCATAGTAATTATACGAAACAAAACAAATGACACATCATTAACTGAGGAACTTTATTCCGATCAACTATGCAATAAATATGGCGAAGTCAGGAATTTAGTCTACTAAGAATTTTATTACATCAAAATAAAAAATAATGACTTTGTAACTACTTTGTTTTCAGTGGCTCGTTCTGATCGAAAGTATATTTTAAGTATTAATTATTGTTTTACAACATTGCTTTACCACAATAATTACTATAATTTTAGTTCATAATGAAAGCCGTTAGTTAGCAGAATATATTACAATTTTAGAAATTTACCACAAAACCATTTGAATCATTAATGAATATTTTACACTAGAGTAATTTAACAGTGTATAAATTGACCATAATTATTAAGAGAGACCAGAGTACCGTGCTTCCTGTACGGCCGCATGCAACTAAATTAGTTTCAGTGTCTTTTGAAGGCCACTGATGATGTGATATCTTAGTTAACTGGACATTTGTTTATTTTTCATAATCTTTGACAGAGGTAAAGAATTTATTCTTCTTCCTGTTAGACTCAAGCCTATCAGCTTTATCACTCCACAAAAATTAGCCACACACTCATATGCAAATAGAATTCTTGTTTCTCTATTTCCTCCCATGTTGATCCTCTATTTACAACAGTCTGTTTAATGTTTTGTCTCCATTTCTTCATTGGTTTTCGTATGGATCTTTTTTCCAATTGGTATCCGCTCTATATATTTTTTCGGGTACCTTTCTTCATCTATTCACCATACCTGCCCGTACCACCTCGACTGTTTCTCCTCTCTATACATTCCAGCACTGAATCCACTCGAATACTCCTCCTTTTATCCTCATTTATTATTCTACCACCATGAGTAATTCCATATATGAGTCTCAGAGTCTTCATCTCTGCTGCCTGTATTTTACTCTTTATTTTCTTGGCTAACACCCATGCTTCCGAGCCATATATAAATAATGGTCTTTATATGGTTTTATAAATGAAAAATTTAACCTTTGTACTTCCTTTTCTATAATTAAGGAGTACAGCATTCCCAGGTTTCTACTGTAGTTTCCAATTATTTGGTGTATCTCACTCCATCGGTTCTTCATTATTGAAATTTACTGCAAGATATATAGAATTATCAACCTTTTTCAATTGATGATTACCAACCCATATATCACAATTTCTCTCATGCCCAGAAAGTACTATTATTACAGAATTATTTATATTCAGTTCATTCCGTTTATCTCCAATCCACTATTCCATCTATGAACTGCATTCTGTAGGCTTTCCATATTTTCTGCACTTAATACAACATCCTCAGTTGGTTTTTTGTTTGTTTTTTACATTTAATTATAAAATATACTTTCAATCTGGAAATAATATGTAATAAGAAATATAGGTTATAATACTATTTTGTTGTGTTTGTTTGTTGTTAAGCACAAAGCTATACGCCCCCCCCCCCAGTGACAACACGGTATGTCTGCGGACTTACAACGCTAGAATCCGGGTTTCGATACCCGTGGTGGGCAGAGTACAGATAGCCCATTGTGTAGCTTTATGCTTAATTACAAACAAACCAACAAAGCTATACAATCAACTATCAGTGCTTTGCCCACTGGGGGTATCAAAACCTGATTTTTATCGTTATTAACGCTCAAACTCACTACTGAGCAACTGGAAGGGAGAGAGAAGGGCAGTTATAAGATGAAATAAATAGCAAGAATATCGCCAAAAGTTCTTAATATAATTTCAGCATTGGATACTTTTGTAGTGATCATCTTAGTTTTGTGGTGGAAACTGTGCTACCCATATGTGTTAATCACAATAAAAAGGCAAAGGAACAAGGTTAATGGAAGATTATTTTTACTGCTACAAAGAATGAACTTTATGAAAAACTAAATTTATACCTGTATAAGTGACCACATAACTTTAATACAATGTGCTTGAATTTAGCAAACAAGAATTGATACCAGCCTTAATGTTTACACTTACATTGTGAGGTCATTTAATACATAATTTCGAGACGATTTGCTTGTTTGAAGTTAAGCACAGAGCTACATAATGGACATTCTATGCTCTGCCCACCACGGGTATCGAAACCCGGTTTCTAGCGTTGTAAGTCCGCAGAGATACCGCTGTGCCACAAGTGCGCATTTCGAGACGAGCCTCATCTGAACTAGTTCATTTAGATTAATGCTGTTTATAAAACCAATGACAGAATAAGAATTTGATGTATAAAGATATCGAATCACACAAAAATATCAGAGAGTAAGCATAAAATTCGAGTGTATTCTTAATCACAAATTTTGTTTCTTTAAGATTCTTGTATTAAGAATTACTTTCTTTATGAATCCAGTTACGCATGAAACCAAAGAGAAAAAAAAAACAATAAGGACAAAAGTAAGAAGAAAATAGGACACAAGATGACCCGAAAGCATATACATTATTATAAATTTGTGAAGTCATAAGTCTCAACTTGATAACATCATATTTTTTTTAGCTTGAAACATTATTTATGCACAAACGTTTACATAAATCGAATTAAAAGATATCAAAACTAAACCTTCTCTTTAAAAAAAAACAGATGTAACAGACAAAACTCACAAAAGGCACTTTCTTCTTTAGTCCCGAGGCCGCTTACGACTGTTAGGGCACTTCAGGTGCCGTTGCATCATCGATGATTCTCGAGCAGGGTTTAACCTGATGGCGTCCATCTCCTCTCCAGGTAGCCGTTCCTAATTTAATAGTGAAGGCAGCTAGTTTAACACCATCCACTGTCAACACTTGGGCTATTCTTTTACATTTTAACGCTCCCATGGCTGAGAGGGCGAGCATGTTCGGCGACGGGGGATTTGAACCCGCGATCGAGCGCCCTAGCCACTAGGCCATACCAGGCTTATTCTCTTTTCTACCTAAATGCCCCCCCCCCCTCCCAGTGGCACAGCGGTATGTCTGCGGATTTACAACGCTAGAAACCGGGTTTCGATACTCGTGGTGGGCAGAGCACAGATAGCCCATTGTGTAGCTTTGTGCTTAATTACAAAGAAACAACCTACCTAAATAATTTTGTAGTTGTTCCATGCAACCATAAAATGTTTGTTGACCTTACCTGATTTTTTTCCAGTGATCACCATTTTGTTTTTTATCCAAGCTTCTGCCTTGTATTGAAAACTTATTTTAAATCCAAGTTACCATAAATGTACAGTTCTAATTTTCAAGCACAAGCAATTTTAGGACTTTATAATTCTGCTAAATGCAGTATACTAACATAAGCTGAAAAAAGCTGCTCCTAGCAAACTATGTAAGGAATCCAACAAAAGCCAAATATAGCGTTGTAAATGGCTCATAGCTGCCAGCTAAACTATTATGTACTTCTTCTACTTAAGTAATTCCTAACAGAGAATAACAAATTATATCTTCTCTACACTCTTAGCGAAAAGTAATCACCAGTGGCTGTATGTTTACAGTTTTTAATTAGGTACAAGGAAACTCAAGCTATAATACCTAAGAGCCCAGTCATATACAAGCTACAAACACAATATGCTATATAGATAAACATGGAAATGAAAAACCTGAGATTTATGACTAATTTTTCGTTCATGAAACAGGACAGAAATGCGTATTATTTGAATTAAAAATAAAGTGAGTAAGAAAACACAGGAACAGTGGTAATTTGAGATGAAAAATAGAGGGATTTGTTTTGTTTTTTTAATTTCGCGCAAAGCTACACGAGGGCTATCTGCGCTAGCCGTCACTAATTTAGCTGTGTTTGACTGTAGGGAATGCGGCT